CTTATTATCTTACTAATTAAAATGTAATAACACAAATGATTCAATTACGCATCTACTCATTTATTATATGATAAGACATTACTTAGCTTCATTTCTAGGGCACTTACCCAGCTCCCAAACTCATTCATTAACTCACTTGTCCATCATTCACCCTCATTGCTTTCCTTAAACAATCATCGATTCATTTATCATTCAATTACTCGATCAGTCTCTTATTATCTTACTAATTAAAATGTAATAACAAAAAAAGATTCAATTACGCATCTACTCATTCATTATAATTTATAAGTCATTACTTAGCTTCATTTTCTAGGCCACTTACCCAATCGCTTCCAAACTCATTCATTAACTTACTTACTGGCTCATTGACAAGTATTAATTCAAATTGGTTAATAAACACTGAAAGACAAAAACCGGACAATTATATTTATTTGTTTATTTTCCATAAAGACTAGGTGTAAAGATTAATAGTTGACCTAAACCTAAAGTCAATATTACTGACGCGTTTACCTTTAGACAGTGTTACTAATCCTATTAGTCTTTAGATTAAAAATAAAGGAAAACAGTTCAATTTCATCCTTTTGTCGAGTGAGTTAATTGGTTTAGTTAAATTGTTTTCTTTGATGAAACAACAAATTTGAGTCTTTTTTTCTTAAAAGCATGATTTTAGCCTCGCGAACATCTTTTCGGGCAAGTGCTTTGGCAAATGATGGATATAGCGTCAGTTTTACAGCCCAAGTCCCTGGGTTCTCCCATCCACAATGGTCTACACCAATTTAAGACAACCAGAAGGCTCGATCGAAGAGAAGGTAGTGATCGTCAGCGATATAATACGGCTAAAGACGATCGTTGTATTGTTCGTACCGCACGACAGGTTAATGGCTTCCTTGATCGTAGTCAACTCCAAACGATCCGTATTGTAAGGGTGATCTCACAGTCATCAGTAATCTCTAGACGTCCCGCATCCTACGCAGACGTCCTTTACTACTGGAGAGGCTTCGTGCAGAAAGGGGACTCGCAAATCTCGCTTGCACCCTTGAAGAATTGGGGCTGCTTTCTTCACAGACGAGCTCAAGTTTGGTTTGTGGCAATCAGACGACCAATACAAGCGTGTTTTCTTCAATCAAAGCGTGAAGAACGCTTTTATTCATGAATCAACGTTTTGGGCAGGTTAGGGATGGCTATTTCACCTTCTCTGGTTCATTCATACTTTAACATATGTATGACTGTTGTGACATATTTAACCTTATTTTCTTGGTCACCCATTCACTAGTTCTCAACTCATTCCATCAACCCTCCTGTTCACCATACACACAATCACTCATTCTCTCCTATTGCTTACCCCTTCTCCCCTCGTTCACTCGCTCATTCGCCGATAATTACTCGAATATTCTATTAACTTTCGCTGGTTCATTCACGCGTTCTCACATCAACGAATTTTCTATATGACTCACAATTTTATCACTATTACTAACTCGTTCATCATCCATATGTTCATTAGTTTTTAATTTTTCTCTTACAATACGGAAAATGTTTTTAGCTAAAAAACATTAAGAAAAAAATTTCCGAGCCAATAGCACAGAACTATTTATATACTACTTGTTCATTAAACGAGAACATGGTAGTAAAATAAAAGTGTAATATAAAAATAAATAAAAAGTAGTAATAATGAATTGATTTATAACAGATCTTTATTCAAATAATACGTAAATGAAGAGTAAAAAAATTCTTTTGGAATGTGTTTCGCAAGGCCATAAGATACTCCCCACTACTGTTTAAATAACAATAAACAAAAGTCAATATTCTTGTTGATTGACCTGTACTGCAAAACAACACGTTTGTGAAACGTAAATAGCAAAACCTTTAATAATTGTGCTCTGATATAAATTAAAATTTAAAATAAGTACGCAAATACCATGATTTTTGTTAGGGAGGAGGGCTAAATTTTTTCCACAAATTTGAATCCAAAATAATATTAATAATTATAAGGAAGGGTGTATTTAGTTGTACTTAAATCGTTAAAATAACGGTTTTCATGGATATAGAATGAATAATGTAATTCATATAATTTAAGTTTAATGAATAATCACAGAATATATCAGGTATAAAGTACAATCATGCAACCAAAAGAGTAACATATCTTTCAGTTTTCTTATAGCACAATTTCCTTTTAAATTTTATCTGAATTTTGAGATAATACTTTTATTATAATAATTCCTCGTCATAGAACCTAGATTAAATAGTATAATTCACACACATACTAGTGTGCACCAACCCAATCCTCAGATGCCGTACAATCTTTTCAATTTATAATTTAAAAAACAAAAACACCCCCAAAAATATGTTAATTTAATATTAGAAGGTAATTTCTTTCAGAATGGTGCCTTTAATATGAAAGTATAGAAATGTGCACTATATTATCAATCGTTTAACAACTTTTTTCTCCCCCCCCCCAGAAAATTAAAATTTCATGTAATAAACACCATACAAACCTTATATAACTATCTTACAATTAATTAATTAATTATACTGGGCTCAGAAAACATTCTTATAGTATAACACCAACTGACTCTAAACTTGCATTATTTTACATTAAATTATGTCAGTTTGTATTAAACTTTTTTTTTCAAAATAGTCAATAAGAAAAAGCCAGTGTCCACCTTTGATTTATTGGCTAACCACCAACAGTTATTGTGTTAATGTATAAATACTGAATAATTTGTTCTAAGAATTTGAATGGTGGGAAAAAATTTTAAATTTGAATTAGACAATTTCATTGATATAATGAGCCAAATAGTCATTTATATTGTTTTTGAAAAAAATTTAGTTTATTCCTAAGTCCTTGGTCTATAATATCTAAAAATATTTCAGAAGAATATGACAGGACCGAGGATTACAGTTCTTTGGAGTAAAAAAAATGCAAATACTTCCAAATGGAGTAAATGTTAAGGGGCTATGCTGAACAAATCAACTATTTTTTTTCTTATAGTAGGATGAGCATTTGCATTGCTGAAAGAACCAAAAGCTGAATAAAACAGAACTAATAATCAAAATTTCACCATATTATAAAAGAACAGATGATTTTAAAACGGTGAATATGAGAAACCGTAGAATATATATGACATATGGTTTATGCTGTAAGATTTCCTCCTGTGGTCTACAGGGTGAAGATTGTTTTGGTCCTTACCTACATATTATCATGTGAGCAGTAGGGTGTGTCTTTATCCCCTTACTGATCATCATGGTCTGCCTATCCTCACTGGGTTGGTTTCTCTTTTGGCAATTGTCCAATCTTCTTGGATCGGACACATGCCAAAAACCATCTGAGCGACCAACCCGGTCAGTAATGCCATTTACAGGTTTATCACCTCACAGACCACACAGTTATGTTATGATATAATTAGTTTATTTGCAATACAAACATGACAACATGGTAAATTCCCATCTACCGAAGGTTGGTCAGACAAATTAATTGGCTAAATATACATTGAAAGCTGAGAAACAAATTACTGAACAATACATGATAATACAGAGCGGAACGACAGCACCCTTCCTGTTCAGATGACCTCTGACAACTCCTTTTAAAGACAGTCTTATTTTATCCCTGTCATTGCTGATGTACCAAAATATCCAGGAGGTATATATAACAACACTCATGATAACTATGCATGAATAGGCCAACCATCATAAAAATTTTGTTTTGAACCATATGGATTAGTGTTCAACTGCCAATGATAATTATGTAAAGAAATAGAACTGCATTAGACATTTCTTACAAATTAAGAACTTGAAGTGTTTTTCTTGAAGATATGACAAGTTTTATAGATACTACCATTGCTAATTAAAAAGAAATAAATAAATAAAAGGACCTTATTACAACCAAGTCCTTCTAAGATTATGTAGGTCCTAATCAAGTTGCTCAGGCCAACTATTCCTGAAGAATAATAGCATTATTTGCTGATAATACCAAAATATCCAGGAGACGGATTTAGCAACACTCTATGCAATGAATAGGCCGCCACAATAAAAAATTACTTTGTTAGATCCGCACATATGATTCCGAAATGGTGAACTTAAGGTCACGTAGAATATCTGTGCCATATAGATTATTGTTCAACTGCCAATGGTAATTATGTAAAGGAATAGAACTGCAATGAACATTTCTTACAAATTAATTTTAACCACAGGAGCTTATTACGACCAAGTTCTCAAAGATTGTCGTTCCTGATCGGCTTGCTCACACCAACTATTCCTGAAGAATAATAGCGTTATTTGCTGATAATACCAAAATATCCAGAAGATGGATTTAACAACACTCATGACCACTGAATAGGATTGCAATAAAAATTCTGTTTTACACCGTGTTAGATCTGCACATATGGTTCCAAAATGGTGAACTTAAGATCACGTAGTATATCTGCGCCATATGGATTATCGTTCAACTGACAATGGTAATTATATAAAGGAATAGAACTGTAATGAACATTTCTTACAAATTAATACTTTAACATGTTTTTCTTGAAAATATAATGATGTTTTATACATCGTATGAATCCCAAAGCAAAATAACCAACTTAGTATAATCCAAGTCCCATTTGTGTACATCACTAGCTAGACTAAATTGAAACGTGCTCGTTCAAAATCGATAAAAATATGATACTTTGGATGAAAAGCAGTTTTATTTCATATAGTAGATGCTTGTACAATCCGGCAATTTTCAGACGGGTGCTCATTTAACTGTCAATAAATACATAATGTTTTCATGCTTCAAATATTATTTTTCTTTATTTTCCTAGTTAAAAATTGAAGAGATGTCGGAGAAAAAGAATTTTATTTGCTTACCTAGATCGTCCATGACTTTATTCACGGAAACATCACACAGAGATAACGCAATACTCGACAGCAAACATTAAAGTGACAAGGTTAAGGCAGGTAACCAATTGAGAAGGTTATAAACAGTGATAAAAATTAATACATGTTTAATAAATTTTTATTGTTAATGAGTTGTTTTTTGTTTAAATGGTTGTTAATTTTTAAATTTTCTTTTAATTTCTGTAATGGTTTGTTTAAATTATAATGTTTGGTTTGATGTTAATGTTTTGTTATAAAAAACAGTGTTTAGTTTATTTTGATATATTTTATTAAGATTTTATTTTATTTAGAGATAGAAAAATGTATTCGATGATATTTAATTAGTTTGGAGGCTGGAAATTGCTGGATTTTTTTTGAAAAGGAGTAGATTTTTTAAAAATCAGCAATACGCCCCCCCTGCGTGCTAGAATCCGATAATCCCCCCTACGAGCGATTGGCTGTGGTGGTGGAAGTCGGAGAATTTTTCAGCTGGTTTCCCGTAAAGTGTAAACAACAGGAGACGGCAATGGTTTCGACTTTGGTGATAGCACCAACGGATAAAGTCCTGTGAGGTGGCATGGGGCAGTTTTAGCCTACGAGGCCGAAAATCGAACGCTCCACCATCACAGAATCGCCCTTGCCCTTGGCCGTACGCTGCGAGGACTGGACGAAATCAGACGAAATGGTAAGAGACGCGGATATACTCGGAGACGCGTCTTGTTGGTTTTTTCCTTTAACCAACCCGACCGTCGCAGATTCTACGGTTGGATGAAGGTTTTTGGTCGTTTTACAGGACAGCGGTACCGAGTCACTCGCCATTTTGGATACCCTGCTCAAAGAGTTCTTCGACTACAAGACCACCAACGAAAGGAAACAGGAAATTGAAACTGTTCTGGGCGAATTCGGCAACCAGAGGGACGCCTGGAAGCATTGCATATACTACTTGAACCACACGGCGAATCACTATGTCTGCATGTTCTGCCTGGCGACCCTAGAGGTACAAAAAACTAGAAAAAAATCAGTGAACATTCATCAATCTTTCAACAACCACTAACTAAGATCTTACTTATTATGTCACCTTATCATCAAAATTAACTATCAGGTGATGTGTCAACATGATAAATCAATTCAGGCAAAACAATCCACTACATGGTCTGTAAAAAAAAAAATACAGAGGCCTGTTTTATCTATTAAATTTTAAATCTTTGTTTATAATATTTTTATGCTTATCACATTTTTTCTGTAAATTTCAAAATTTTTAGCTGTTAAATCGTATTGCACTTAATTTAGGATTATGCCAATTTAGATTATTAATCAGATTTTTAATTATCACTGCAGCATCGTCATACACCCTTTCTCACAATGGGATGATGAGCCATCATCCAGTAAATGCCTCTGGACTGAGCAGAATTAAAGTGTGGTGCTATTCTTGTGGTGTCATATTGGTTTTGTGTGAAAGTGTTGTCAGAACACTTATGTCCTTGCTTTGATTTTTTTTTTTTTTAATACAAAATTTTCTTATTAACACAACAACATCATCATCATGTGTTTACACCATAATTTCTAGTAAGCGCCTAAATAATATAGGATTTAATACCTAATTAGATGATTAATCACATTTTTAATTAACACTGCAGCATCAGCATAGCTATATCTCACTTTTGGATGATGAGTCATTATCCATTAAATGGCTAATTCTGGACTGAGCAGAATTGTTTATATGTGCATTGTGTATTTCATATCTAGTCAACTTTAGTTCAAATACCCAAACATAAATATGATAAATAACAATGAGCGCACATTTTCCATGAAAATTATATTATTCTGAACGCAAAACGAGTTTCCCATTTAAAATTCAATTTGAATGCAACATTATGACCTAGATTATTTGTTGATCATGAGATGCAGTCTGGTGTGACGTAGGTTTTAGAAAAAACATTTTCTTTATTGTGTCAATGTTTCGATCATTATTGAGATCATCTTCAGGGCTCAAAGTGTTTGTTTTCTGTACAGATGTATCATTCTTGTGTGTCGTTCTTGAGAGTACAAGAAACAAGAATGACACATCTACACAGAAAACAAACACTTTGAGCCCTGAAGATGATCTCAATAATGATCAAAACGTTGGCACGATAAAGAAAATGTTTTTCTAAAACCTACGTCACACCAGACCACATCTCACAATCTCCAAATAATCATTAACTAATGGTCACTAAACACCACACATTATCTTTTTTTTTAATACAAAATTTTTTTATTAGTACTGTGGCTTCATCATAATAATTTGGTATACCATAATATGTTGTAGGTGCCTAAATAATATTGGATTTAATACCTGATTAGATTATTAATCACATTTTTAATTAACACTGCAGCATCATCATACGCTATATCTCACTTTTGGATGATGAGCCATCATCCATTAAATAAATGGCTTATTCTGGAATCGTTTAAACATGTAGTTTGCACTTTATATTTAGTCACCTTTAGTACAAATACTATGCAAACATAAATTTGCTAAATAACAATAATATGCCCATTTTTCATGAAAATTGTATTATTCCAATGTTGCCCATTTGTCTGAGGATTATTATTTATATGTGTACTAAGCACTTTATATCTAGTAGACTTTGCATACTTAATATGATAAATAACCATAGGTACACACATCTTTTGCCAGGCAAATTTTGTTATTCTAACCTTCAAAAACATCCCCCACTTAATACTTTTATATATATANTATATATATATATATACAACTAGAGCCAGGATGTACAGGGTGTTACTAGGTTAAATGTCATTACTTCCATAGTGGATTCACTAAATAAAATTTAGACTCGTCATTTAGACCCTCTCATAGTGTTTTTGTTGGAGAGATACCATAAACAAAATGGTGGTTGCTGTCTGGGTACCTGGACATATAGGTCTGGAGGATAACGAAATGGCAGACAAGGTGACTTAGGTCGGGACATCCCACCCTCCATACTTAACCACCACAAGCCAGCACTCTTATGCTTCTGGAAAGCCATTGACAGTATTTTTCCGCAGTGCAGACAGAAGTTTCAGCTATGCATGGTTCATCAAATTCACAATAGCCTGCGTTATATTGCTATGTAAAGACCAAAAGCCTTTTTGGCTGATTTAAGACTGTTCATCTTGCAGATACAGATCTTGCTAATTGATAGTTGACAAACGGACACTTACTTATGAGACAAAGCTTGTGTATGTGCCTGTAGAGAAAGATTGCTTGATATGCCCCATTGAATGGTGCAATTCCTTGCCTCCATAAAGAGAGAGTGCTGGAATGCCACCTGATTTGAAAATTGTGCATGAGCACGACAGCAAGTATTTGGATCCCCTGTTTTGATTCTTGGAGGAAACGGGTTTATTCTAGTATATATAGTAATAATAGTTGTGTACCCCTAGCTTGTGTTGAGAATGAATGTATTTATTAGCTTGTATTTACTAATTAGCATGAATGTGTGATATGAGAGGATTGTTGGCAAAATATCGAACACCCCATCAACCCTCAATTAAGTGTAGTTGTAAAGTATGTATAAAGGGCAAGGGAGGAATATCGAGTACTCCACTACATTAATTGAGTGAATGGCATGTATATATATATATATATATATATGTATATATTGTGCAGGGTGGGTGACCAAGACCTGAGGGGTTAAACGCCTGGGTAGACTCGTACCCCATCCCTAAAAGGTCCGGGACTTGGTCGGCTCACGTGTCCTGCATAAACCTCTTGAGTTGTTCACAAACCCCAAGATTTGGACCATTTTATCTCGGGGAGTGATTTAATGATGTCCTCTCCTTCAAAGATTTTGAATCTAGACCTAGCATACTTATCACACTCTGCGAGGTAGTGCCTTGCTGTTTCTTCTTTTATTTCGCAGAAGCGGCAAAAGGGATCTGGTTGGATACCCATTACGAAGCGGTGTCTTCTCAGTGGGCAGAGGCCCGTCAGAATACCTATCAGCCTCCTAATTCCCTTCCTTGAGATAGAGAATAGCCATTTCGATTCTGCTGGTTTGATCGCCTTAACAAACTCTTTCGATTGCCTGTGTCCGGGGGATAAATTCCACTCCCTAAGGAATTGTTTCATGCCCCAGTTATTGATACTCTCTTTCGCTGTGCTCATAGAGTGAGGTAATACCGGTTGTGACCCGACAAACGCAGTATTCGAACCTTCTTTGGCTAGGCCATCCGCCTATTCATTGCCATGGTGTCCTTTATGTGCTGGTATCCAAATAAGGGTCACTTTATTCTCAAACCTGAAAGAGATCCTATTGATAAGATCTATAGTTTCCTCCACCAGGCGTGAGGTTGACAAATCTTTTTGTAATGCCCTAAGACTAGCCTGACTGTCAGAAAAGATTTTAATATCTTTTCCCTTAATTTTATTTTCCATAAGTGTTCTACAACACACACTGATGGCCCAGATTTCCGCCTGAAAAACGGAGGTGTTATTGCCAAGAGGGGAGGAGATGCTGATTCCTAATTTTGGTATGTAGATTCCTGCACCACTCCCTCTTCCATCTGTGTAGCAGTCTATGTTGCGATGGTCATCATCCAGACTATAATTATAATCACAAGAGGTGACTACCTGAATGTGCTTTTTCCCCGAAGGGGTTTTAATCTTTTTATCACTAACGCTTAATAATTGACCGTTAACCTTACTCAATAGTTGTGAGATTTTCGAGTGAACGGCATGTAAAAAGGAATGAATGTATTTTAAAATGAGTACAAATGGGTTTAGAACTGCCTGCATTTGGTATTGACAGCAACCCCCCAGTGCACAATCTCGGTGGTTGGATAAGACTGAGGTCTGCGTATGGGCTGCCAATACCCGGGGTGGGTAATTCTCTAGTCTGCCAGCAGTTTACTGTAAATAGCTAAAGCTGTTGGACTTGGTGGGGGACTACTAGAAGCGAGTAGGCTAAGCTCGGCGCATGTTTGTACGTACATTTGCAGATTTGAGCCTATATAAATCCACATAAATATGTAAATAATTTTATATATGTATATAATGTAATAATGAAATTACATAATTAAAGTGTACTTTGCTCTTAAACCACCTTCAATTTAATAATACATCTCGTTGCTCGGATTTTTTATATAAGAAGTTTCTCATTAGCACCACTACAGCGCCATCATAATACATTACACTGTTTGATCTATCACATTTTTAACAATCTCTGAAACAGCCCTTATTATCAGATCATGAGTCTATATGGCAGGATATCTTCTACTTAAGTAGTAGTTTAGTTTTTTTTAATTCATATCAACCCTCGGGGTACCAGTGTTTTTGAAAAAAAAAATTGCTGAATTTAAACCTGGGAGCTTTACCTTTACCGTACAGTGCTGAGCACTGTGTCAACGCCTGAACCGTTGCGGCCACTGACGGGGCGTAGAGGCTACTGTAAGGTGTTGAACTTATAATTTGGTTGATACCAATCATCCTGGTCTGTCGATCTTCAGTGTTGAGTTCAACAACAGAAGATACCCAACTGCTGAAACACATCTTACAGACCAACACAGCAAGTATAGGCAGATGAATTTGGACTTAATTCCATTGTGTTGCCTTGATTTTTTTTAACGCATTCAATGTGGCTGACCTTCAGGGGAACCAAAGAATTCCTATCAGCAGAACGGCTGACCTCACAATGCATTACAAAAATAATTTAAAAAACGATTTGCCTCCATTGAACATGCTAAAAAATATTGTATTATCACTTTCGTACCATCCTGATCATCTTCCATTCTTACACATCCAACTTTAAACTCCATTATTTGCTTTAAAGAAAATCATCACCAAACAATGGCTTCAACTCATGTGGGAAGAACGATCTCAGTTGCGGACACTTCTGTATCAATACACTCTTCAGCGGCATGCTCTTGTTCCTGTCTTCATCAGGAACAAACTTTTAAAGCTGGTTGTTGACATTGCACGACTTGACTGGCCACACTTTTACCCGGATTTCTTCACGAGCATTCTTACTGTGAGTGTTTCTTTTGTGTCCTTGCAAAAATTAATTATAAATAAAAGAGTTGTATAATAATTTGTAAAACTTTTAGCTTATGGATGGAGCTGACAGTAAAATCTTAGGGTTGGCCTTTCTCCAGACTGCTTCTGAAGAGTTGATTTGCCCAAGAGAAGATCTAAGTGCATCTCGCAAAGAAGAACTAAAACGTTTGTTTCTTGCACACATTCCCCAAGTATTTAATACTATTACAGGTAATTATAGGCTTTTGTGTCGAGTTATGTTTTTCACATTATTAATTTTTTGTTTTTAGGTGTTTTGGATGAAGCTAAGAATAAAGGTGATGGAGAAAACCCAGTTGTATTGGCTGCACTTCAAGCTCTTTCTCATCTTTTCTCCTGGATCCCATTGGCGGATGTTAATTCACTTCCTTTACTTTCACTGATAACCCATTTTGCTTCACAGCAGGTAAAAGTTTATAATATACTCGAAAAGCACACTTGACAATTTGAAATGTATTCCTTTTTGTTCCCTTTAAAAGGATGCTAGTGGACTTCATGGTTTATCAGCTTTGAACGAATTGCTATATAACAATTGTGTACCAGGGACATTCCAAAATTCGCTCCTTTCCCTCTGTGTTCACAACAATTCTCTTTTGAGGGCAGCTTTGACTACGTTGACCACTAACATGGGTACCATCGACCCAGAGTGAGTAATTTGTTCATTATATATTTTTAAAAAAAATAATGGGGAAAAATTTATTTTTTGTAGGTACATGAGTAAGTTGACTGAAATGACAAGACTTTGTGTTTCTGTGCATTGGCACAGAGTGGAATCAAGCCCAGGGTTTCCTGTTCTTGAATTCCTTTCATCGTTATTCCAGTTTACATTCCAACAGCCTTCTCTCGAAGGATTTTATATGACACTAGATATTTGGAATTCTCTTCTAGACTATCTTCAGCTTAAAGACACATCCCATATCGCTAAGTATGTACTCAATGCAAAGTACAAGAGAATATTTATTAACTATCTTGCTCTTTTTAGGTATGAAGAGGTTTTAGTAACATTGGTTCATGCTTTGCTTAAAAAACTCCAAGGACATAGAGATCTCGATAATGAAATGCTAGACAACAATGTAATTAAATATTAAAAAAAAAATTCCTTTAAAAAAAATTTGCGAGTAAATATGTAATTTCGAAATTTCAGGAAGAGTCTGAAAGACAAAAATTTTTAAGACAGTGCATTGAAGTTATTGCTAAAGTAGCAGAACTTGCTCCGACTCAGACCTGCACATTAGTTGTAAGTATGCCTTCTTACTGCTTTCTTTTCACTAAAATTCTAACAACTTTTACTTATATTTTTAATGATATTTTCCACACACAAAAATAAAATAAGATAAATAAATGAGAGTTGTTAAAGAAGAAGTGACCATTAGTCGATGACTATTCAGAAATCGTGAGATGTGGTCTGGTGTGATGTAGGTTTCAGAAAAACATTTTCTTTATCGTTCCAATGTTTCGATCTTTATTGAGATCATCTTCAGGACCTGGGATTTACAAACATTGTTTACATTTAACAAATACATGTCGGATGTGAAAAAAAGTGAATTTATACAATGCAAAATATATTTTTTTATATTCAATCAAAGTATTTCTACTCACTCAAAGTGTTTGTTTTCTGTGTAATTGTGCCATTCTTGCATGTCGTGTTGAGAGTGCCAGTGAGATATTGCTGTTTTATGTTTATATATGTTAAACCCCCCATTTTGAAGGGGTGGAGAAGGATGTCGATATAGAAAAGACATTTTTGTATAAGGCATAGGCTTCTTTGAGGTGAAAAGAGCTGACGAAGGGAAAAACATTCAATCAAAATAAAGATCGAAACATTGGCACCATAAAGAAAATGTTTTCTGAAACCTACATCACACCAGACCGCATCTCACGTCATTTCTGCATAATTAAAGAAGAAGGTTCTTTGTAGAAATATATGGGAGATGGGATGAGATATTCAAAGAAGAAAATTTATGCAAACTATCAATAAAATAAAAAAAATAATAATTTGAACAATTAAAAAAAAACATATTTCTACCTTTCTGCGTCTTTCAAGATTATTTCTATATCAATCAATTTATTATCAAGATTTCTTATCAAGTAGGATAAGAAAATAATAGATCGTATTAAATGAGATTAGGTATACAAAAAGTTTCACAAACCAAAAATGCTTGTAGTAAAGTATGAATAAAAAAGTTTTCTAAAAAACAAAATAAATTGGATTTGTGATGTAAAGGTGGTCGACCAGCTGTTATTCAACAGTATATTTGGTAGGATCATGGACCACACCCCGATCCTACCAAATATATTGTTGAAATTGGATTTGTTTTAAACTTTCTTTAAAGCCCTTAAATATGTATAGCAAACAAAAAATAGACATTTTTGGACTGGATCAATCAGGGGCAATTTTTTTTTGATGTATGGAGTTCATCTTAAAAATTCATAATTCTTCTGGATGATAACTAATTTTCACAGTTTAACAATAATTGAAAAGCTGTATTTCTCTTCTTTGAACTAATATCAACGTTTGGCTTGTGTGCCATTGTATGTGCCAAAAAATAGGGATGAAATCAACAAAAAATTTCCCAAACATTTTATATCTACAGTTTTGATGGAATTACAGAGGCCAGGTTTGAGCCATTATATGTAGGCTGTAGGGTTCCAAACCTCTGTAAAAATTCCTATGGATTGGTGGAGTAATTTCAAAGTTATCATTTTTACAATTAATTAAGGTTTTTAGTTGGCAAAATGGTAAAAAGGAGGGAAAATTCAAAAGGTCGGGTTGAGATGGGAGGTTAGTGTCCGAGTGGATCAAGGTCACGATAGCTCAAGTGGTGCAGTGGCATATCTAGCCGAAGATCGTGGGTTCAAATCCCACTCGTGCCATTGACTTTTTTATCTCAACTAAAAACCTTAATTAATTGTGGTATATTAATTGGTCAAGCGGACCACGAAATTAATGAAGTTATCATTTTTTTTTTCCTGAAAAAATTGGAGGCGTTTGGCAAGGATAATTACATTGGTGGGTTTTTGGCAAAAGAGAAGGGATGAGATAGTTGGGAAAGAAAAGAAAGTGTATTGAATTTGGTGGTAAGGTAAAAATAACTAGATGGTTGAAGAGAACAGCAAATGTCAGTTTTTAAATTATTTAATTAATTAAAAAAAAGTATAATGTAGAATGAAGTGGTATTATAAATATCTTCAATATGTCGCATATTGTGGTTTAGCATTGCTACCCAACCAGATATCTCTATATATTGCATCTTGTAAATGAGTGCAACTAATTTTCACAATATCGCTAACAGCTTGAGATTTCTGCTTTAAAGTCATTTGCAATTCCTTTAATTGTGTTAATAGCTGTTATTGCTTTGCACCATTGCTATGCAGCCAAATGCATCGCCGCTGTAAATACATGATTAGAACTCATGACTTTGATTTACATCATCATTAGGATAAATTAAGAACTCTTCCCCTCTTTTTCCACCTAAAATTTCTTTTCACCAATACTTCATTCATATTCATATTGGTTTGCATACCACAGCCTGTTTGCCAAATGGCTAATGGAAATTCAGCCAAATGTTTATCTGCTAGCACTTCATCTACTGCTGAATAATTGCCTTAGCGTTATCCCCAATTATCAAACCTGACATTTTTTTTCTCAATTTTAGCTTGAATGCTGGCAGCCTTTGATGTCACAATACTCTTCACTACTTTGTGGAGGAACAGCCAACGAAAACCTCGGTGATAACGGCGAGTGGATTGACGACTGCTCTGCACTGACGCAATGTGTCGCTCGTTTATATTCTCAGATGCTCGCAGCAGCCGTTCCGCACAACTTGGCATCCTTATTTGCCAACCTTGCAGCCCAGGCGACGCAAGCGAGACTCCATGAAAGACAGCTTTACCACACGATTTCTCCTCATCTTATTGAATTGTATGTTGTTTAATAGATTTTTTGTTTTAATAAATAAGCTACATGTTGGTTTGTATCAGGCATAGCCAAATAATTGCTGGTCTGAATGCCTGCATGTGTGAAAGCATAGTTGAGACGAGCCTCTCAGCAGTTCTTCCACTGCTCATCGAACCTACGGCACCTAAACTCCAGCATTCATCTGCACATGTATTGAATACAATATGTTTGCAACGAGCTCCACAACGTTCGTTGGATCAGTTGTATACCCTGTTTACTACAAATATCTCTCATCTTCCCAAAGATGTAAGGGAAAATTTTTTTGAAATATTTTTTCCTTGTTAATAATAATTGTTTTTTAGACGTTGAGCGTTGTTTATTGTGCTCTGGTGCGATGTCTTCTCAGCTGGAAATGGGATTCAGATTCAACAAGGGTACAACTTCTGGCAGGTCTTATTGAGACAATGACACCATCAGGCGGTCCAATGCAGCTCCAAGACCTTTCCCATATCACCGCTGTACTTTTGCATGCCAAACCAGACACGAGTTCTTCTAAGAAACTACTTTTTACTGCAGTTCAGGTATGGACTTTTGTTTTCTTTTACAAAAGAAGAGTTTTGTCATTTAAAAAATTCTTTCAGCCTGTACTTCAACAAGTTCTGAACGACTTCCCGCGAATTCTGAAAACCAAACCAGAACAGTGTAACGCTATGCTAACATTGTTTCTTGAAGCGTTTCGCACACTGCAACATCAAATGGGTGCACAATTTACGCAAAGAGCAGTGCACACATTTATCAGTTCATTTACGCAGTAAGTTCAAATAAAATTCATTTAGTAATTAATTCGTATCACTAACATGATTTTTGTTTAAGGTGTGAAATATCGGAGATCAGTTGTGGTGTGGACAAACTACTTCAACTTTTGACCCTTGTCATTGAACAGCCAGCTGCATCTTTTAAACACTTCGTTCCAAGCTGTATCGCATTGTGTCTTGAAAATATTCTTCCGTCAGTAACTGAAGCGACCAGCGGAACAATAAAACCACCATTGTACCACTTACTGTCAAGGTAAGTTTAAGAAAATTTTTATTATTATTTTGTAAATTATTATGTTACAACAGCGCAGGGATACTACAAGCAACTTCGCTGCTTTTATGACTTTTATTTAAGATTACAAGAATGTGGGACAGAGGGAAAATCATCCTCTATCACAAATCCATCTTGATTATTCTTCCCAGAATGGCCACGGTTGCTCACAAGGAGGAAAATTTTCCCGTCTCACCATTCTTGTAATCTTATAATGTAAAATTCATAAAGAACCCTCTGGAAAAGTAATTCATTAACGTCCATTCCATGCACGATGGCCATTTCCCAAAATGACTCTCCTACCATGAGGAAAAAAATTTGTTTTTGTTTTTTCATGATTTCAATGTTATTTAGCTTTGTGATATTAGGAAAAAATATTTTAATTTTAATTAATATTTCTTAGATTTCTCATCAACTTTGACAATAACACAAATTTTTTATGTATATTGGTATTGTTATTTAAAAAAATTACAAGGACCTAACTATTATAACGGTCAATATAATTACAATTTACATACTAAATTTACTCTACGTTGACAACCTCTGCTTTTTCTTTCTGGGAAAGACCTAGAGGAGGTCGAAGGGATAGTGTAGTCAGCAATAAATATTGTACCTGGAAGAGCCGAGAAAGCAGATTCTCCTTCTCTGCTCGAAAACGTCCAGTTTTACAGATCCCACAGCCTTCCATATCTCTGTCCAGGGGGCATTGCAGTGAGGTATGTAGAGTCAGGGAGGTTTCTCAGCTGGAAAGGTGGGCTGGATCGACTAAGAAGCTCTCGTGTATTAAGAGCACTGTCGATGGGTAGCCCTCGGAGGATCTGATTCATAAAAGAAGTATCATCTCATCTGATTAAGAATACACCATGTGGGGTTGACACACGGACACTTACTTTTGGGCCAAAGCCATGTAAAGAAAAGTTGCCCCATCTAATTAAAGGATGCAATTCCTTGGCTCCATACACAGAGCATGCAGGAATGCCACCTGATTTGAGAATTGTGCTTAGACACGGCAGTGAGTATTTGGGTCCCCTGTTGTATTCTTGGAGGAAATGGTGTTGTTCTATTGTTTAGTGAGAATAGTTGTGTATCTAGCTTGTTTTGAGAGTGAATGTATTTATTAGTGTGAATTTACTTAGTAAAGGGAATGTGTGATGTGTGCGATATGCAATTTGACACCGTATCGCCGTGCATTTCTTTCCTAAGCAATGCCGATAATTATCAGTGGCGTATTGGTTGGGGCAACACAGTTTGTCAATCGCTCAAGGCGTTAGATCGGTGCAACTCATCAGTGAATCATGTTTTGCCAAGATGCTCCAGGTCATGGTATCTCTCCTGTACAAGAAGTATGAGAGCATTGGTAGAAAAACTGTGTCATGGACAGCAGTAACTTATGGAATCGATGCAGACTAGTCAATAGAACCACTATCATCTCAAATCACCCCAAGCAAGTGCCAAATCATTTACAGTTCTGCTGTGTAAATGCTACAGTGCAGCAGGAGCAATTTCATTTTCTCTAAAATAATGCTCGCAGGCCTCCTGCTATCACCAAATTCTCTTACCAAGAATGGTTTTAGTTCGTCCCAACTAAAAAATAGTACATTTCTCATTACTTCATTCGTTTTGTCAATTAATTTGTTTTTTTTTTTATGGATGACCTGGATTTCTGTATACTAAAGACAGGCGTTTGTAATGTGGACATAATAGTTGGTGTTTTCTCTACTTTCAAGACGAACTGAGTCAATGTTTTGGATTTCCATCATAGCTACGTATAGCGTCCAGTATGAATTAAAGTTTAGTAAAAGTGACCATTTAAAAAAATTAAGTTTAAACCCAAAAATGAATACAAAATACAAAAATTAAAATAATAACAAAATTTGATCACTGACAAATAAGTTGTAATATGCTCTTCTGTCCTGTATATTGATCCTCTGCGATGTTCGTTCGCCTTTCCGGTATTCAGCCGAGAAATGATGATCACCATGAAGCTCGTTATTTTCTCATTTGTCCAAACAATTAAGTTTATACACGCTGAACTCCAAAATCAGTACTACTGATCGTGCCAGTTATGGTTTCGATGTGATAAACCGAGTTTTAAAAAAAAGTTTATTTAATACAAAATTTACAACATTCAAGAGTTCTATTAAATGTTCCTAGTTCAGAGTCCTGGAATGGATCAAAATGCAATTTCTCAAGCAGTGTGGTAAAAGCGAACTGGGTGGGGTTTTCTGCCTGCCTGTCTGTCTTTCTCTCTCCCTCTCTTTCTCACTCTCTCACTCACTCTCTCTCTCTCACTCTCTCTCTCTCACTCACTCACTCACTCACTCACTCACTCACTCACTCACTCACTCACTCACTCNATCTCTCTCTCTCTCTCTCTCTCTCTCTCTCTCTCTCTCTCTCTCTCTCTCTCCCCACCTTTCTTGTTTGTGTTTTGCCGTGAAGTCTTCCGCATCATCAACTACTTCAAAGATACAAGGCAGGAACAATTATTAAACTGAACGGTCAAAAAGTTCGGCGCTATAGGTTAAACCATCAAGACTGCACGGTCTTTCCGTCCCACCCCGTGAATTAGAAGGTATATTAATTTATTTTAATAATTAATTTACGATGTTGGGTTTTAACTATGATCTTTGTTATATAAATATAAACAGAAACATTGAAAAAATACGTTCCAGATTAAATACCTTCTGAGCATTTCTAATTATTACATTACTTACTCATGTCCAATAACTTTTTTTCATTTTCTTAATATCTTCTTTTGATTCTTCTTATTATATGTAGTATATAATCTTTATATGTTTAATTGTCTGTTTCCTATTTGTATTTATGTATGTATTTTTATGTATTTCGTCCCCACTCTCTCTCCCTCCCTCATTCTCTCGCATTCTCAAGCGCAATTCTGAAAAGTTGGGTTTTTTCAATAGCCAGCTTTGCCTCGAGCGTGCAGAACTACGTGTAAATAAACATTGAGAGGAACAATTATTAAACTGAACATCCAATAAGTACGGCACTCCTTAATAGGCTAAACCATCAAGACTGCATGGTCTTTCCTGCTCACCCATGAATTAGAAAGTATTACCGAATACAACAAATTACAAAATACCGAAGCATACTTTGGCTCGTTCTGGAAGAAGGGTTCGATTGACCAGGAGAGAGAATCCTTTATTGGTCCTTCCACTTCTTCTGTACCCAAGTGAGACCGGAAAAGGAAGAAAATACGAGTTCCTTACAGGATCAGCTTGTCCATGCTACATTCTCTTACCTACCCCGGGTGGTATAGTAGGATGTACAATGTGGAATAATCTGTAGTCATCAGAGCGTACATTGTCAGACTCATACTCTCACTAGGTGATGGCATCCTACACCCATCAGGTTCTAGGATGTTGAACTGAAGTATTTCTTTGCAGCTATGTTTGTTTGAACCGGTCAGCTCAGTTTTGTACAGATTGGTTGTAATAATGATGTATACATGAAAAGAAACCTTGTTTATATATTTAAAAAAAACTTTCAAAGACCTTACACAAGAAAGTTGCACTCTTAAATCAAGTATTTCAGAGTTAGAAGTTTTTCTTAGCCAAACTGAGTAGGATTCCGAAATCAAACCCTTAGAAATACGAGGCATCCCCCAGCACACTTGTATCTCAAACAGGTTTAAGATTGGGCATGAAACTAAGACCCGAAGATAATGACACAACAATCTATTTATTTATTATAACTCCAACAGAAAGAATCTACAAGAGGAGTAGTCAAAAAAAGGCACATAATAACAAAAAGAACAAATGAACAATTAAGCAATAATAACAAAAACACAAGGCTTAATGATTCAAGGCAAGTAATCATTTTAATTTAACTTTAACTGAATTCAAGGAATCGCGAAATACATCTATTTCATTAGAATATAATTCTATGCTAGATTGCTATCTCATTATCCTCGGTAGGGGTGAATTTAGTCCATATTCTGTTTTGTAGTGTGGAACAAAGAACAAATTATGGTTCCTAAGTGGTCGCTGAGGCACATATAGCGATAAATGTAAGTTCAGGATATCAATGGCCTCATTCCACAATTTCCAACCCCAAATGAGATCGGCAAAAATACGGCGGGAGCTAAGTGACTCAAGACCAAGCCAGTTCAGTCTTTCCATGTAATTCAGGTGTGCAAGACCAAATCTGAAGGCCATTATCCTGGTTGCTTTCTTTTGTACTTTTTCCAAGTCGCTAATCTCACCAACATATTATTAAGAGGTGCCATATTTTGTGACAGTTCAGTTTAATAATTTTTCTTGTCAATGTTCATTTACATGTAGTTCTGAATCCTGGGTGCAAAACTGGATTTTAAAAAACCCCAACTTTTAAGAATTGCCATTTTAAAGTTTGAAGTATTTGATGATATGGAATGTAGTCTTCGCGGAAAGACAAAAAGAAGAAAGAAGGGAGAGAGAGTGAGTGAGAAAGACCGAGAGAGAGTGGGAGGAAGAGAATGGGGTAGAACAGAGATATAAACAAAAACGAGAAGCAGACAATTAAAAATAATAAAAAATATAGATTATACACTATACATAATAAGAAGAATCAAAAGGAGGGGATATTAAGAAAATGAGAAAAAGTTATAGGTATCGTTTGCCAGCAACCAAATACAAAATGGCGCCGACGAACACCGCCAGAGATAGGAGTTTAAATTAATAATAAGATTGTTTCGGCACCAACGGGAATGGAAGATTCCCGATTGATTAGAAGATGTCAGTTTAGTAAGAATTAAATGAAGGAATAAATAATGAACGAAAGGAATAATTGAAGATTCACTGTTTAATGAAATTTCTATGGCTTACAAGATGGCCGATGATCGTATTGGAGACCTGAAGGCGATGAATGCCTGTAGGCGGTGAATGTCTCTGAATGCGATATCGTGCGTTGTTCGGCGATGACTAGGCCAGTGCACCGGCCTGGATCCAGCAGCGTCGAAGATGATGATGATGGATGGTAAAATCCAAGTGGCGATTGGAATGAGATGATGCAATCCAGGCAGCGATGCTAGTGAGAAGATGCAGTCTTCCAGGGATAATGATGGATGATTCGTTTGTGGGATTATGATGATGGTAGATGGATAAAGGGAGATAAGATATTAAGGGAAAATGGCGATGATAGGTTTGCGACTATGCGGTCGGGAGATGGGATGCATGTGGAGTTAAGGATGGGGCGATTCTAATGTCAATACGCGGATGTTCACGTGGCGATAAATGTGCATATCAAAGCAATAGCTGGGCAATCTTACACGGTTAATTACTATTGTACAACACTTAGGGGAGATGACAGGGCAATAGGAGATGTGCTCGCTCTGAGAGCTGGCGGAGAAGAGAGAGCCACAAAAAGGCAGGAAGGGACGGATTTTTGAGGAAAAAGGAGTAAGCGTGTTGTGATTGGTGGATTTTGAGAAGATAGGGGTTGTAGATAGAGGGGTACAGTGTACGACACAAATCGGGCGCTTCGCTGATATCGTAAATTAATTAATAAAATAAATTAACATACCTTCTAATCCACGGGGTGGACCGGAACAGCCGTGCAGTCTTGATGGTTTAGTCTATTAAGGAGCGCCGTACTTTTTGACAGTTCAGTTTAATATTAATTTTTATCAATGTTTACATATAATTCTGCACCATCGGGGAAAAACTCGATATTTTAAAAACCTAACTTCTCAGAATTGCGGTTTTAAAGTTTTTCTTTGAATTATTTGATGATGTCTTCGTGGAAGGACAAAAAGAAGAAAGAAGGTAGAGAGATACAGAGAGACCGTCAGAGAAAGAGAGAGAGAGAGAGAGAGAGAGAGAGAGAGAGAGAGAGAGAGAGAGAGAGNAGATTGTGTGTGGGGGAGGAGAGAGAATGGGACAGGAAACAGTGAAATAGATAAAAAAAGAGAAATAGACAATTGAAAATAAAGTAAAGATATAGATTCTAGTCATTATAAAACGAATCAAAAGGGGATGTTAAGAAAATGTGAAAAAGGATGGACATGAGTAAGTAAGTTATGTAATACTAAGATTTGTGAATAGGTATTTAATATGGAATATGTTTTGTATGTTTCTGTGTATATTTATATAACAAAGTTCGTAGTAATGACCCAACATCATAATTTAAAGCAATGTACCTTCTAATTCATGGGGTGGGCCGGAAAGACCGTGCAGTCTTGACGGTTTAGTCTATTAAGGAGCGCCGTACTTTTTGAAAGTTCAGTTTAGAGCAACCTTAGAGAAAAATTTATATTTAAAAAACCCAACTTTTCGTAATGCGATATTAATGTTTATCTTTGAATTAGTTGATGATGTGGAATGTAATCTTCATGGAAGAAAGAAGGCAAAGAATTAGAGAGGGGGAGTGAGAAAGCAAGTGAGTGAGGAGAGAGAGAGAGAGAGCCCTATCCAGTTTGCTTTTTTTTACACTGCTTGAGAAATTGCATTTTGATCCATTCAGGGCAAAAAATTACCAACATTTAATAGAACTCTTTGTTTGTAGAGATACATAAAATTTAACTAACAATTTATCTCATGGTTTTGCTCATAATAATGCATTAAGAGCAATAGAGACGTTGGGCTTGTGATACTGATTTGTGGTGTCTGACTTTGGCATGTACTTAACGACAAACATATGTGAACAGCCTACCAAAATGAGACAAGGCATCAGGACACATCATGTTGTGTTGCGTAGGGGAAGTGTGTTCCCCGCTTAATTAAAAACCCATTTGAAATAAAAACAGTTCATGGAATTAGTAAAGACTACTGTACACAGAAATTTTTAAAGAAAAATTTTCAATGTTAGAACTATTCTTATTTAACGTCCACAATAAATTCGACATGCTATTCAGATTAAATAGCATGTAAATATTAAACAGTAAATTAGATTGTAATAAAGACAAAATAACAGTTGCAAATAAAAAATATTGTGTACGTACTATGAAATTGATATGGAATGATGAGTGGAGGAAAGATCTGTTGACTCGTCAAAGAAAACTCCCCTGTCTGTCCTTGTTGTAATGAGATTAGTACAACAAAACACATTCTTCTGCACTGTCCAATCTACTCAGCCTACAGACACCTCATCTCTTATCCGCAAAACCTCTATAACATATTAAAAGACGATACCATACATACTTTTCCAATATCTTAAGACTGCTGATTTAATGAACAGGATATAAACTAGTGTGGCCTTTGCCATTTGCGTTGGCGGGGGGGGGGGCTTGTTCCTTGTGGGTGCGGGTCGGGGGTCGAGCGCTTTGCATATGGGTGAAAAAGAATACCCCGGCTCTTGAAGGATGTGGATTGGATGCCCATGCACATCCTTTCAGGAAAGCCGAAACAACATTAGTTCAGCGATAACATCACACTGTTTATATAGTGCTCGACCCTCTGCAATGTGGCTGGCCCTCTGGGCCTATTCCTCTCTGGGGCCGTGGCCCCTCTGGTTCGCGCGATGGGGAGGCTGCATTGTTGGATGCTTTAAGGCAGCTATGACCCTTAGTGGTTTTATGCCTTTTAAAAATTTAAAAAAAAACCTCCAACCCACCTCTTCACATTAGACGTGTGCTTGGAAAGTATTAGTAAAATAAAAGTTTTGGTTTCAAGTAATAAACCTTTTTCCAATATAAAGTTCCTAATAGGGGACGACATTAGTTGATGGGAGAGGAAAATTTGTAGTAGATTGAAGGAGAGGGTAAGCTAAATTTCAAAGTAAAAAACAAAACAAAAACAAAGATTCTTATTTTTATTTATTTTTTATAATAAAAAAAGATTATTATTCTTTTTACTTGTTTATTAGTCTGGTGATGCATAAGTGGCAGTATTTCTACCAAGGAGCTGTTCAGGATTGCCAGCCTGTTTTAGAACATGGTGACCAATTAGCGGCAATTCTGACTGCCTTCGGCCAATCATTGACCCAGCAGGACATTTCCATTTTTTCGCAGAACCTCCAGGCCTTGGAATCAATTAACCACAAGTGGAAATTGTACCACAAAGTATGTTTTTTCTTTTTTAACCTCCCAAGTTCAGTATTCAATGGTTGATTCACCCACAGGAAATGTTCAGGGTGCAGTTTTTGGCCCTGCTCCTTACGGTCCTTCTTACGACACTCATCAACAAAAGCCATGCACTGTTGAGTGACGAAATCGCCACTGCAATTTACAACATGGCCGCCGTCAATTTTGACACTTTCTTCAACAGTTTCCTCCCCACATTTTTATCGCAGACTTCTGGATTGGATGAAAACCAAAGAGACATTCTTAAAAAGAACATCAAGCCAGATACGGTACGTATTCAATTCGTAAAAAACATAATTATAGATAATAATTTTTTTCTCTTTTAGGACCTTCCATCTTTTACCCAAAACATATTTCGTTTGGCTAATGATGTCCGTTGCTATAGGCTTTGTAACACCTGATCTTCAAACAGCAGGTGGACCAATACAAACTAATTATATAGTATGATGCATTAATTCATTCCAATATTATATATATCTATATTAAGTAGTGGTTTTTATTCCATTGTGTTTATTCTGATAAAACATATAGGAGTGAATATGTTCTTCCTCTATATTTAGTTATTTAAAAAAATATACAGTTGACTCTTGTTAATTTGCAACTTGAAAATTCAAATTTCCTGATAATACAAACTCCTCAGCAGGCCATTTTGGTAAAAAAAATGTCTATTTTAATACTCGTTAATACAAAATATTTTTCGTAACAGAGGAAGAGAGAGAGAGTGCAATTTAAAAATCGGAATTGAGTCACTCCCTTTCTATATAATTCTTTTTTTTTTTGTAATCTAAATTTTCACATACTCTTTGCAGCCTAAAGTGTCTTTGAATTTTTTCTAGTTTGTTATATATAGCATTCAATGTTCTGTCAATATGTTCTCAGCACTTGAATTCATTGGACCATTCATCTTGGACTTGAATGGTCTAAGATGTTACTAGACCATGAGATGGATTACCATCTACCCAATTATTTTTAAATTACTGAGGGGGGATTCCAGATCCCATGAATCTCTATGAGACTCAAATTTGTGTAGTCTTAAATTTAGACTGCAGTGACAAACACAGAGATGTAATTTAGAATATTCAGCACATGCATCAGAACCATAAGGTTGATTGTGGCGGTTTTCCCTTTGCACTGATATCATCTTCAATGATAATCTTTCTTATATATTAGCTGTTTCTTTTTATCATAACTGATTAAGGGGTGTCAGTGTGATACAGTCCTTCAGCGCTGTTCAATGCCGCCTGACACCAGGAAAGATTGACAGAGAGTGGGTGCTAATTTATACCATCAGGTTCAGTTGGATACCAAGTGAGTTTCGCTGGTTAGCCACTTTTTCAAACATTGGAGAGTAGAGTTCCAACAGCAGTGGGAAAACTGCTAAGGAACGTCATTCTTTCCTTTGCCTTCCAAATACATATTCCCCCATGCAGCTCACAGCCTGGTATGGCTCAAAATGTGCTTCACACTCCTGAAACAGACCTTTAAATCTATCTGACTGTGCGCTAAGATTTTACCAGTGCGCATATTTCCAAAATCCCAACTTGTGGTCTGCATTATACGTCTTGCTAGAGTCTTACTTGGATATAAAGCCCCATAAGTTCTCCTTGATGGTCTCCTTGCACCTTTGTGATGCAGTGAACGACGGACAATGCTCTTGCTAGTTTGAGTCATGATTATTTATGATTTAAGAAATTAAAACATTTCTGTAATGATTTAACACAACATAAAGGTAAGTTTACAAAGTGACATTTCCTTTTGTTGTATTGGCTGTAACTAACATGCTTCCTAATTTTCATTATTTTACGATATTTTATATATGTATAATTTAATTTGTAACCTTTGAAATGCAAAGCAACTATTAATCTTTTTTTTTCTTTTCTCTTGATAATTTGAATTATTTTATTAGCTTGGGTTTTGAATTATCAAGAGTCAACTGTATATCAAAAGGTATCATTGTATAATCAAGAGATTTAAAAAAAATATATATATACAAAGAAGCATAAAAATATATTTCCTCATTAGATGTTTGTGTATGTTTGTCATACACATACATCGAGACTCCTATTCTTGTTTTATTTCCTTTTAAGAGTGTGCTCGTTAGTGGTTTGTTCGTACGCACTGCAATTTTATACTCTGCTCCCAGCAACTGCTTCAAGTTGGACGTTTTCAATCCCTCCCAGTCTTAAATGGTTTTTCTCATTTATCATCGTTGTTCTCCACATTATTTTTTTTAAAAGTTACTTAGAACTCTTGATGAAAAACTTAATTATTAATTAATTTGCAATAAAATACGAAAAAAGTTGCTTGGTGCACAGTTATAAAATGAAGTAGAATTTATCTAATAAACCCTATGGCTCAATGGATCTTATTTTGTATTTTGTTTTTATATTGTGCCATTTTAATTTACATTTACATTTTTTCTTGTCTGGTTCATTCTTTTGATAAAAATCATGAAATGACTAGTCATTCTATTTTTTTTTTTTAATCCTATTGTTGTTTTATGTAAACTTGATGTATTTGTGATAAAAGAAATTATATATGTATATTCTTTATGCATTAAACAAATCCAACCTTTGAAAAGAACTTTATTGTAAAATTGTTGCCATTTTTTAGTGTTGTTTCGTTTATCTATAAATTTGTACTTAAGTTTTTTTTCTACCCTTGAATAAATATTGATGAGTATTTATTTCCTAAATTGTGTTTATATCATCCATTTCATTATCAGTTGTAAGAAGACATAACTTTTATTATTTATGACCACACCTCGAATAGTACAATTTGCTGGATGGAAAACAGCACCTTATTAAACAGCAAGTCAAATTACGAAATAATACCTTTTGAAATTATTTTTATTTGGAAGAGATCAAAACTGTCTTAAAAATTTCATTTGATCAGACATTTTGTAGTTTCATTTTTATATTTTTTTAGTATTTTATTGTGGCTTACTCTTAAGTTCAGGTTTGAGAGAGAGTCTACACTTTGTTTTGTCAACTGGAAATTCGTGTGCCATCTTCCTTGTATGCAATGAAGGCTGTCCCAGTGCCACTTCCATTGCTGTAATAGTACTATGAAATAATTAAAATTAATTAAGGTTTATAGTTGAGATAAAAAAGTCAATGGCACGAGCGGGATTCGAACACACGATCTTCGGCTAGATAAGCCACTGCTCTACCACTTGAGCTATTACTAAAAACCTTAATTAATTGTAATATATTAATTGGTCAAGAGGACCACAAAATTAGTGAATTTAATAAGTTTAAAATGAAGTATACCAATATTGCTCATATAGGATATTCTGTTGATTTTACAATCTTCAGACTACATCTAGCAGGTATAAGTTCTATTCTAGGAGCAATCAATTTTATCTCTACTATTCTAAATATACGTCCTGCGGGGATAACCTTAGAAAGAACACCTTTATTCGTGTGATCTGTAGGAATCAGCATTATTATTACTATTGTCACTACCTGTACTCGCAGGTGCAATCACTATATTATTAACTGATCATAACTTTGATACTTCATTCTTTGATCCAGTAGGAGGGGGAGACCCTGTACTTTACCAACACTTATTCTGATTTTTTGGTCATCCCGAAGTATATATTCTAATTTTACCAGGATTTGGCCTAATTTCTCATATTATTAGAAAGGAAAGAGGAAAAAATGAAACCTTTGGCCCTTTAGGTATAATTTATGCTATATTAGCAATTGGAATTTTAGGATTTATCGTATGAGCACATCATATATTTACAGTAGGAATAGATGTAGATACACGAGCATATTTCACTTCTGCAACTATAATCATTGCTGTACCTACAGGTATTAAAATCTTCAGTTGACTCGCCACTTTACATGGACGCCACTTGAGCTATTACTAAAAACCTTAATTAATTGTAATATATTAATTGGTCAAGCGGACCACGAAATTAGTGAATTTAATGATTTAAAATGAAGTATACTTCACTAAAGCTCTCCGTGGCCATTTCATTTGTCGTCGAGAATCAATCCGATTACACGACATTTGAAAAATGGCAAAACGGAGGGAAAATTTGAAAGGTGGGGTTGAGATGAGAAGTTGTTGTCCGAGTGGATCAAGGTCACGATAGCTCAAGTAATAGAGCGTATCTAGCTAAAAACCTTAATTAATTGTAATATTGGTCAAGCGGACCACAAAATTAGGAATTTACTGTGTATAATGTCCTCTGTTAGCTAAAACCTCTGTGCATCTGTTAGGTATACTGTTAATAATGTTGTCACTAGAATTTAACTCCGTAGATGTTGTAACGCTGCACTCAGTTGTTACAGGTCAACTGGCTGCGGATGGTGATCTAAAAGCCTTCTCCTCAACTCATCCCACATGTGCTCAAAGGGATTGAGGTCTGGAGACAATGGGGAAAGCGGCAGATGGGAAATTCCAAGGTTTTCTAAACATAGACAACTCTGTCTCTAGGAGGTCTGGCATTGTCGTCCAGAAATTGAAGATACCTGCCATAGAGATCCCTGATAATTTCTTGGACATAACAGACTGCGGTGAGGTTGCCCTGAACAATTTGGAGTCCAGTTCATCCTCCAGTGTAAATCCCAGCCCAGACCATTAAACTGCATCCTCCAAACTGAAGGGAGCATGAACTGGGGTATTATAGGCATCTTCTGTTCTCAGTAGCCTCTTCGTTGCATGCTATCACAAACAGACAGAAACATAACTCATCAAAAAGCATGACAACTTTCCAATTGGTGTTCTCTTCTAGGCACTTGCTGCCCCATATTCTCCTGAGTTGCTGGTAGAGGGCTGTTGCTGCAGGTTGTTTCAAAGGGGCATAAATGGGAGACCAACTTCCCACAAACGTTTCCTAATCATTTATGTCGATAAAGGCCTCTCCAAAACATCTTGTACTTAATTTAGGATCTGGCAGGCACTATGGAAAGGGTTCTGTCTTGCAAGCAATGAGAATACTTCTGTCCTCCCTTAGCGTTGTAATGCGCTGAGATCCACTACCTAGGCCAACTATTGGCACTTCCAATCTCTCAGAATCGGGCTAAAGCCCAGGTGACCACGCTCTGAGACACGGCAACTGCCTCTGCACTATCCATGGTATTATTGTCCTCGATGACTCATTCTCACAATGAAAAATTATTCAGCAAACTTCTGGTATAAGATGATGTTTTTCCATGGTTAAAGAGAATACAACTGGATTAAAATGGGCAAAAGATGAGAAATCTACAAAATGAGTAATTAAACTCACTAATTTCGTGGTCCGCTTGACCAATTAATATCTTTCAATTAATTAAGATTTTTAGTCGAGATAAAAAAGTCAGTGTCACGAGCTGGATTCGAACCTACGACCTCCGGCTAGATACGCCACTGCTCTACCACTTGAGCTATCGTTACCTCGATCCACTCGGACACTAACTTCCCATCTCAACCCCACCTTTTGAATTTTCCCTCCTTTTGGCCATTTTTCAAAAAAATGAGTAATCTTCATGTTTAATATTCTTAAAAAAATCTGTTATTAAAATGAGGATTAACCTTTGTTTTTTGTTTGTATTTTCTATTTTGTTTTATCCAACTAACAAGAACATATCGGTTAAAAAAAT